GTCTTAGAAGTAACAAGAGAAATGCAAAGTGCTCCCAAGGGAATCCATAACCACAGTACAAGATGAAGATGGCTCTTGTCGTGTGAGAGTTTTAAATCTAGAAATAGCCTGAGGATAGACACTACTCTATCTAGGGCCAGTTCTTGATGAGAAGGCGTGACTGTCAGCTTTAAAGTGGGTGTGAAATTAGAACTGCAAAAGCAAACAGCACAAGTTAGAACTGAGAAATGGGATTAGAATTAGGCCATGCGGTGCAGTGGGAACTAAATATAAAATAATAAACTTACATTGTATCCCACAAATAGTAACACCAGGAAACAAGTGCAGAGGAGCGGAGGCATGGAAGTCACATTTTCTGTATGGCAGTAGATTCAGAGATGGCGGATAAGTCTGCGTGACAGCCTTCATTTAAACAGGGCGGAAGACTAACTGGGGGAGGGAAAGGCTCTAGAACTGAGGGTGGGCTAAGGAAAGAGCCCTAGGTGTGAGCTCCTGGACCTCAGCTTCCAGCTTCATAAAGTCACTGACTGGACAGTATGTTTGGGGACCATTTTGCCTCTGACATTTATTCTTTTCATTTGTAAAGAGATAAAGCTGAGCAAAGTCCTTTTTAAAATGTATCCTTCTTATTTGGTTTGAGCTTTTTTACTTCATAACAAGCATGTCAGTATGTTTTTGGTGGTATTTCTAACCCACAAGTGTTGCCTACACAAATGCTCACAATCCCTAAATGAATTTTTGTTAGATAGACTGCCAATCAGAAATTTCCTTGAGATGCTTACCTGTGGCTGGTGAGTAATGTTTTCCTCTCATTTGTCTCTAGGTTTGTGTTATAATAAAATAATAGTATAAACAGCCCTCTTTTCCATGAGATTGAGAAAAATACTGTGTGAGATATAGTCAACTAATCAGTCTTCAAAGTATTTAACTTTGTTGCTTGTTTGATAATCTGAATGAGTCTTTCATAAGAACCTAAACCTCAAAAGACCTGAAAGGTCATCTAACTCAACTCTAACTACAAACTCAGAAATCAAAAATTTCAATTATATGTCAGTCTTGTAAATTTAAGAAGCAACAAAATGGAACTCACCTCAAAGTTCTTTGATTGCTAGACAAGCCAGCTCAGTCGTCTGATAAAACGTCTCCCCAAAATACATGTAGCATTTTTTAAAATGGCTCTGAGCCTAGGGAGATGACTCAGCAGTTAGGAGCTTTGGGTGCTCTGCCAGATGACCTGGGCTTAATTCCCAGCATCCATATGGTAGTTTACAATCGTAGGTAACTCCAATGCTGGGGGATCCAACACCCTTTTCTGGCTTCTGCAGGTACCCCACACACATGATGTGCAACCATACATACAGGCAAAACACTTAAAATAATAAAAATGTGTTTTAGAAAATTAGTTCATTGAATAATTATTTTTAAAGAATGTAGACATGAGTTGCTTGATGATTGCATTTGTATCCTGGCCTAGCCACATTTAACACTCCATTGAGCTCAGTTTACTTCTTGACAAATGGTGAAAGTAATTCTTCTAAAGTTGCTGGAGGATTAAAGGAGGAAGTATAAGCATGGGGGTTTGCATAAGAATGGCTCCTATATGCACATGTATTTGGACGACTCATCTCCAGGGAGTGGAACTCTTTGATAAGATTAAAAGGATTAGCAGGTGTGGCCTTTTTCCCAGTAGCTATGTCGTTGTTGAGGGAAGACTGGGGGTGGACTTTAAATTTTAAAAGCCCATGACAGGCTCAGTCTTCCCTCTCTGACTCTGTCTCTCTGTCTATCTGTCTCCCTCTCTCTCTCTCTCTCTCTCTCTCTCTCTCTCTCTCTCTCTCTCTCTCTCTCTCTCTCTGTCTCTGTCTCTGTCTCTGTCTCTCTCTTTCTCTCTCTGTCTCTGTCTCTCTGTCTCTGTCTCTGTCTCTCTGTCTCTGTCTCTCTGTCTCTCTTTCTGTCTCTGTCTCTCTGTCTCTGTCTCTGTCTCTCTCTCTGTCTCTCTCTCTCTGTCTCTCTGTCTCTCTCTGTCTCTCTCTGTCTCTCTCTCTATCTCGATCAGGATGTAGCTCTCAACTACTTCTCCAGCACCATGCATGCCATGCTCCCTGCCATCATGATAATGGATTAAACCTCCGAAACTGTAAGAAAGCTCACAATTAAATGCTTTCTTGTATAAGAGTTGCCTTGCTCATGGTGTCTCTTCACAGCAACAGAACAGTAACAAAGAGATTTAAGTAAGGTGTGCAGTGCAGGGTCTGATGCAGTCCACTGAGTTTTCTCCTTTTATGTCCATGTTGTCTCCTAAAAATATTTGATATGTATTTAGTTCTTCAAAACTGTAGCATCCCATATTCTGATCTACAATAAATACTTCTCTCTGTATAAATGATTTTTCATGTTCAATATGCTTATTGTAGTATCTTCCACGGTGGTATTACTAATATAACTTGCAGAATAAGTTAATAGATAAACATATGAATGAATACAGTAGATGAGTAGTTCTTAGCTAAGACAGTTTCAAAAACATAGAATTAGAACTTGGATGGAATAAATCCACAGGAAACCTCAGCATATCCTTAGAAAATATTTGTACATGATGTGTATGCATGTAGATCTCCCTAAAATAAACTGATTCATAGTTTGCATTATATACTGAAAATGTTCTATGCCTCCCAAAGTATTAAGAGCCACTACTACAAACCTGGCCCAACCCTCATAGAAAATGTCACCACCACAGTATTCTTCATTGAAGGCCATGACTTATTTGCAACATCAATCCACAACTATTAATTGTCTATAAAATAGCTTAGAGATCAGAATTTTTTTGGGAAATGACATTTGGAACTTAGAATTTTATTGCATTGTATTTTGTAAATAAGGTAATTCTCCATCTATTTGTAACCACTTATTTTCATGTGTGAAATACACTCTTCATTTGGCTCATTAGCAACAATTAATATGCTATTTTCCTGAATTATTTTCTAAATGGTTTTTCCCTACCATTAAATTTTTCATAAACACCAGGGTTTTTTGTTTGTTTGTTTTGTTTTTCTTTTTTATTTAGAAACAATCATTTTACATATTAATCCCCCATTCCCTCTCCCTCCCATCTTCCCATGCCCCCTACCAACACTCCTTAACCCACCCCCCACCTGCTCCCCAAGGACAGTGAGGCCTTCCATGAGGGATTATTAATGTCTATCATTGTTGGAATTTGACATTATGCTGACAGCAGGTGGGGCACACACAGCTAAGCACTGAGCCATACTCCTGAAATCTAGTTGTAGAGAAGGAGGGATGAGCAAAGGAGTCAAGACCATGCTGCATAAACACCAGTTTTTATAAAAATGAAATATTATTGATGTTCCAAGTGGACTTTTCAGAGTTGAGTGTAGCACTATAGTGGTTAAGGCTCTGGACATGGACAAACCTGAGTTTTCATCATAATCCCCCACCCCTGCCCAGTTGAGCTTTGCTGAGTCACTGTGATGTGCTGGTCTTTAGTGAGTTCCTTAACATCTTTCAGTGAAGCTGTAGAATAGGATTAATGAGTGACTTTGAGCAAATGTTCAAAGTGTGAGATGTGCTGCAAAATAATACTGTGGACACTGGGAGTCCTCTGTGCAGTATAAGACCTCAGAAGAACTAACATCTCTCTCTTTTTTCAGTAAGATTATCCTGGGATTCCTCAGAAAAGCATTGTCCTCATGCTCTCTAACTAGTTGTGATAAAGCTTGTTCCTCTGCCTATTCCAAAAGTGAATTTGAGCCAATTTTGGCAAACAGTGTTACAAAGCCTCTGTGAATTATATTTCCATTTAATTAGCCAAAATTCATTGTCCTTCTTGGCCTCTTTGCCATTAACCAATCCCATCATTTAACATTGGTGCCAAATTTCATGATGTGCATTTCAAGTTGGGGGATTGCCATGTACATGGAAAAACAGAGCACATTCTCATTTCTTATAATATTTATGTAGTTATTTGTAATTTACAAAGCACATTCCCATGAAAAATCTCTACATTGTACTTTCCCCTCTACATACCAGATTTTTCTTATAACCAGCAAACAATTATTAGAAACAGCTCAAGAGGACATGCATAACAGAAGGATGTGGTTATCATGGATTAAAAGCAGAAAAGTAGTCATTATGTTTAATAATCTTTGAGTGCTCACTAACCACCAAATTCTTTAGACTTATTATTCTCATTCACACTTGAAGCATTTTCTGAAAGTCACTGTTCTTAATCCCATTCTACAGATATGAGTCAAAGGCTAGATGGGGCTCACCTCAAATCAGCAGATGACCCAGTCACTCAACCAATATTGTAACAGGGATGGAAACCCAATTTTGCCTAAGTCCAGAAGCAAATCATTTCCCCTTGTGTGAAATAACAGGCCAGTCACAGAAAGAAACACTACTTGCTTACTGAGCTCCTGAAGGCAGCCCCTCAAGGGCTATCATTTCCAAACTTGGTGAATGCTATATGTTCCCACCATAGCATGCTTAACCAATGCTGACTTCCATCACATAGGGTTTGGAGTGCTAAGAACTGAAAATAAGAAAAGGCATTGCTCTGTGACCTCTCGGTCGGTGTGTGTGTGTGTGTGTGTGTGTGTGTGTGTGTGTGTGTGTGTGTGTTCATGTGCATCTGTGGAGCACATACACTTTGAGAAACATAATCCTGATCAAATGGATAAAGGCATTAGAATGAAAAAGGAAATCATTAAACTGAAGTGATGGGAACTGAAAAGGGTCAGAGGCAGAGGGAAATGGGGATGAGCTGGGGCCAGCTGAGGCTTCTGTTTTCTTCACTGCAGGCTGCTGGTACAGATTTGGGAGTCAAAGGTGAGCCAAGGATTCCATACAGACGACTCAGTCTCACATGTGGAAGTGAAATTCCAAGAAAGAGCATACGATAAAATTGCTTTGATAGATTTACAAAGATATTAGCCAGTCACCCTCACTATAGACAAAAAAAAAAGATTTTAGGAATTGCATACCTGGCACAGTCTGCAGGATTCATTTTGTAGATCATGAGGTCACTCTGGTGAAAGGAAAAACACAAAGAGGCATCATCTTTGTGGCAAGATCTTGTCACTCTCTCTCTACAATCACTTCATTCCTTGATCCACAAAAGGCCATTGCTATTACTAACTCCTAAGGCACAAACTTAGCATTTTTAAAAAGTGTTTGAAATGCTCCTCTTCTGAATGCTGCACAAACTCCACCAAAATTGCTCCCTGAAAAGAGTGCTTATCAATTCACTCTCTGGGAGATAGTCTGAGTCCGATCCATTAAGTTATCGTACTGGTACAGGGAGTTTATCATAATTTATTCTAGGATATTCTAAATTTACTCTGTTGATTGCCATTGTGTAAACAGTATTTTCGGTGAGCTGAAGTTGGATGATTGAATACTAGAATTGGTACTGGCCTGTAGCTACCATGAGGAGTGTTGTGGTTATTCTATCAGTACAAAAACTCCAGGGATGTCTAACAAGGGGATCAGTAGTCACAGAAAAAAAATGAGTATTTTTCTACACACTGTTAATGGGCCACTTACTGAACTGTATCTCTTCAGAGCAACAACATTAATGCATTATGTTAAAGAATATTGAAAAGTGGTTTGTGTAAGTTTAGCAATACTATCCTCATTTAGAAAACACACACACACACATCTGTACAGTTATTTGAAACTTCCCTTTTAAATATATTGAGTAAAAACACACCAAAAAATAAGCAATTGTTAGCATTCTTGTAGAAGGTCTCAAAATTGAAAGAAAAAAAACCTCATCTCTTAGTAGTTTTCTAGGTTCCTACTAAGAAATATATAAGGATTTATTTGATAATCACTGAGGATGCTGAGCTTTTATTAAAATTAATGGCACCTGGCTATTCCTTTCCCTTAGTTATTAGTCTGCTCACCAACCCCACACTTTCTCCTGCTTCATGCCAAGCCCTATGTTTATGGTAGCTGTTCCTGTTATTTTTAACCCCTAACCTTTTAACATATACATGGAATTGATTTTCTTAGGTCAATTTTAACTTTGAACTTTCCCTATTTCAGGATAACTGCATCAAAAATCTTGTTTGAATATTTTTGACTTGCTTTTTTGCTACCCACCCGCCCCCAGGAATAAATACAGTTTTGCTTTTCTGTTGTTTTTTTAATAGATAGCACTGGGCTAGGCTAGATGGCTAGCATGCTGAAGCTCTTTCTAGTTGACACCAGCAGAAAGATATAAGAAAATACTACAAAACAAAGGGAGTTTACCCATTATCTCCAGCACCGCCTCATCTGGTCTGTTTTAGCTTAGTTCAAATTCATTCAGACTCCATTCTTCTGTCACCTCCAACACCATTTCATTTATTTTTTCAGTAACATAACTGACTCACTGAATGGATTTCAAGCTAAACTGATAGTAAGTGTTAGTGTCTGAATGGTGCTGTAACTGTTATGGGTAATTCATGAAAACCTAGATGTCATTATGTTTTCATTACAGCCCCATAATTTGGATAATAGACATATGAAAATATCATGTATGGACAACCAAGATGGCTTAGTGGGTAAAGAAGCTTACAGTCAAGTCTGAGAACCTGTCTTTGATCTCAAGAAGAAGAGAGCTAACTCCCACAAGTTGTCTTGTGATGTTGACAAACATATAGTGATACTCAAGTGCCCACAGACATACACGTATACTCACAGCATTGAAGCGTGAAGGAGGAAAAGGGAGAGAGGAAGGAGAGGGTGGGGGAGGGAAATAAATAGATGACAAGAGAGGGAAGGAGAGAGGGAAGGAGAGAGAGTCACTCCTGGTGTTGTGTTCGTTCCCATTACTCTGACAAAGGACTGATCTAAACTGCAGCCCTTCTGAAAGCACCTGGAAATAAAAAGAAACTCTTGCCTTTGGGCAATCTTCAGAAGATAGTCCTTCTAATTTAAGAGTACAAGCTAACCTGACAACACTGTTCTACTGCACCTAACCCTTCCTTTCTGTCAGACACCCCACAGAATTTTTTTCTTTCTTTCTCACTTTTCCTTTGCTACCTACTGTCACGGTGTCATAGTTGCCTAGTTACCTTCAGTCTTTGCAAGCTATGGTGTTGACAGGCACTTGATTATTTCCCCCCACAGAAATTTACCTTTTACTTTGTTCTTTCCTACCAAATTTTCTTCTCAGTTTTTGCTCTTTTATAGCAGGCATATATGTTGTGAAATATTGTTTTAATCTCCTTGTCGCTGCTGCAAAAGTTATTTGTTTCCATTTCTCTGCATTTCTTCTGGTAGGAGACTACCATTATGAAGAAATGTAAAGTTTTCCAGGCCTACCAAGAAAACAGAGTAGTAGAATGCAAGAAGATAATATGATCAGGTCACCAGAGATGCTGCTGAATGCTAAACTAGAATTGTTCTAAGTTTCTATAAGTCCTAATATTTAGGATTAACCCACAATCCAGACATTTTTCGATATTCTACCTAAATAAATCACATTTGTTTAAATTTCTAAAGAATCTCACAATTATCATTTGTCTCAAATTTTACAAAATACGCTTGATTATTTTTATCTTTTCCATTTTTTTTGAATCTTAAATTGACCTATAAGTTCTGCCAGAAGGTAGGAATAACAGGAAGGAAGCAAATCAAACACTATTTCTACTCACCCTGTTCTTATTTACTGTATGAAATCTTTTAAATCATTAAACAGCCAAATCATCTTTGAGGTAATTTACCTGTTTTTAAAAAGTCAACAATGTGGTTATTAATGCTACCGACATATTCAGATAAATAACTATACTGCAAACAACACGAGAATGTAACATAATAATAATTAACTATAAAATTTTAAGAAAGTTAAAAATTGATGCAATCACCTTAAAATCTTAAAAATAGACAAAAAGGCTCAAAGCCTCATGAGGACTGGGAACTGTACACTGGGGAAAACATCCAGACCCACCAGACCATCCAGAGTCAGCCAGCTTCAAGGTGATAGCCCTTCTTCCACTAAAGGGAGAACCTAAGAATAATAGGTATAGAAGAAGGTGAAGAAACACACCTCAAAGGTGCGAAAAACATATTTAAAAAAACATAGATGAAAACATTCCCAACATAAAGAAAGGCATGCCAATAAAAGTACAAGGAGCTTACAGAACACCAGAGTGGACCATAAGAAAAAGTCCTCCCATTACATAATAATCAAAAACCCAAACATACAGAATAAAAAAAGAATATTATGATTAGCAACAGAAAAAGGCCAAGTAACATATAAGGCAATCTACCAGAATTACATGAGACTTCTCCATGGAAACTCTGAAGCCAGAAGGTCCTGGATAGACAGTCTACCCACACTAAGAGACCACAGATACCAGCCCAGAATACTATACCCAGCAAAGCTTTCAATCATTATAGATATAGAAAACAAGATATTCCATGACAAAACCAGTTTTAAACAATGCATATCCACTAATCCAGCCCTACAGAAAGTTCTGGGTCAAGGAAGAAATAACAAAAGAAATTAAAGACTTCCTAGAATTCAATGAGAATGAAGACACAACATACCCAAACTTATGGTACACTTTGAAAGAAGTACTAAGAGGAAAGTTCATAGCACTAAGTACTCACATGAAGAAACTGGAGAAAAGTCACACTAGAGAATTAACAGCACAACTGAAAGCTCTACGACAAAAAGAATCAAACTCACCCTGGAGAAGTAGATGCCAGGAAATAATCAAATTGAGGGTTGAAATCAAACATCAAAACAATGCAAAAAAAATCAATGAAACAAGGAGTTGGTTCGTCAAGAAAATCAACCAGAGAGACAAACCTTTATCCAAACTAACCAAAAGACATGGAGGGAACATGCAAATTAACAAAATCAGGAATGAAAAGGGAGATATAACAACAAACACTGAGGAAATCCAGAAAATCTTCAGGTCATATTTTGAAAACCTGTACTCCACAAAATTCAAAAATGTAAAGGAAATGAACAATTTTCTGGATAAATATCACTTACCAAAATTAAATCAAGAACAGATAAGCAATTTAAATAGACCTATAACCCCTAATAAAATAGAGGCAGTCATCAAAAGTCTCCCAGACAAAAAAAAATCAAAAATAAAAAACCCAGGGCCAGAAGGTTTCAGTGCAGAATTCTACCAGACATTCAAAGAGCAGGTAATACCAATACTCCTCAAAGTGTTCCATACAATAGAAGCAGAAGGATCACTGCCAAACTCTTTTTATGAGGTCACAATCACCTTGGTACCAAAGCCACACAAAGACACAACTAAGAGAATTTTGCAGACCAATATCCCTCATGAACATTGATGCAAAAATGTTCAATAAAATACTTGCAAATCCAATCCAAGAACACATCAGAAAAATTATCTAACATGATCAAGTAGGCTTCATCCCAGGGTTGCAGGGATTGTTCACCATACAAAAATCCATCAATGTAATCCACCATATAAACAAACTGAAAAAGAAAAACCACATGATCATCTCATTAGATGCTGAAAAGCCTTTGACAAAATCCAAAACCTCTTCATGATAAAAGTCTTGAGAAATCAGGAATTACAGGAACATACTTAAACATAATAAAAGCAATATACAGGAAACCAACAGTCAGCATCAAAGTAAATGGAGAGACACTCAACAGAATTCCTCTAAAATCAGGGACAAGACAAGGCTGGCCAATCTCTCCATATCTCTTCAATATTGTACTTGAAGTTCTAGCCAGAGCAATAAGACAACAAAAGAAGATCAAGGTGATACAAATTGGAAAAGAAGAAGTCAAATTTTCACTATTTTCAGGTGATATGAAATTTTAAATAAATTACCCAAAAATTCTCTACCAGGGAACTCCTACAGTTGATAATCACCTTCAGCAAAGTGACAGGATACAAGATTAACTCAAAAAAATCAGTAGCTCTACTATATACAGATGGTAAATGGAATGAGAAAGAAATCAGAGAAACGTCATTCTTTATAATAGCCACAAACAAAATAAACTATCTTGGGATAACTCTAACAAAACAAGTGAAAGACCTGAATAACAAGAACTTGGAGTCTTTAAAGAAAGAAATTAAAGAAGATACCAGAAAATGGAAAAATTCCCCATGCTCTTGGATAGGTAGGATCAACATAGCAAAAATGGCAGTCTTGCCAAAATCAATCTACAGATTCAACGCAATCCCCATCAAAATCCCAACACAATTCTTCACAGATCTTGAAAGAACAATACTCAACTTTACATGGAAAAACAAAAGACACAGGATAGCCAAAACAACCCTGTACAATAAAAGAACTTCTGGAGGCATCACCATCCCTGACTTCAAGCTCTAGTAAAGAGCTATAGTCCTGAAAACAGCTTTGTATTGGCACAAGAAGAAACAGGTAGACCAATGGAACCAAATTGAAAACCTGATATTAACCCACATACCTACAAACACCTGATTTTTGACAAAGAAGCTAAAATTATTCAATGGAAAAAAAAGCATCTTCAACAAATGGTGCTGGCATAACTGGATGCTGGCATGTAGAAGACTGCAAATAGATCCATGTCTATCGCCATGCACAAAAGTTAAGTCCAAATGGATCAAAGACCTCAACATAAATCCAGCCACACTGAACCTCTTAGAAGAGAAGGTAAGCAGTCCCCTCGAAGGAATTGGTACAGAAGACCACTTCCTGAACATAACAACAGTAGCACAGACACTGAGATTGACAGTTAATAAATAAGACCTCCTGAAACTTAGAAGCTTCTGTAAGGCAAAGGACACAGTCATCAAGACAAAACGGCAGCCCACAGAATGGAAAAAGATATTTACCAACTCCACATCTTACAGATGGCTGATCTCCAAAATATACAAAGAACTCAAGAAGCTAGTCACCAAAACACCAAATAATCCAATTAAAAAGTAGGGTACAGCCGGGCGTTGGTGGTGTACACCTTTAATCCCAGCACTCGGGAGGCAGAGGCAGGTGGATCTCTGTGAGTTTGAGGCCAGCCTGGTCTACAAAGTTGAGTTCCCCAGCCTCCAAAGCTACAGAGAAACCCTGTCTCGAAAAACCAAAAAAAAAAAGTGGGGTACAGAACTAAATAGAGAACTCTCAATAGTGGAATCAAAAATGGCTGAAAGACACTCAAGAAAGTACTCAATATCCTTAGCCATCAGGGAAATGCAAATCAAAACAATTCTGAGATACCATCTTGCTCCTATCAGATTGGCTAAAATCCAAAACACCAATGACAGTTTATGCTGGAGAGGATGTGGAGAAATGGGAACATTCCTCCACTGCTGATGGGAATACAAACTCCTACAGCTACTTTGGAAATCAGTATGGAGGTTCCTGAGGAAAATGGGAATCAGTCTACCACAAGACCCAGCAATTCCACTCTTAGGCATATATCCAAAAGATGCACATTCATACAACAAGGACATCTGCTCAACTGTGTTAGTAGCAGCATTATTTGTAATAGCCAGAACCTGGATGTAACCTACATGCCCCTCAACTGAAGAATGGATGAAGAAATTGTGGCATATTTACACAATGAAATACTACTCAGTTGAAAAAAACAATGGAACCTTGAAATCGATGGCACTAGAAGAAACCATCCTGAGTAAGGTAACCCTGTCACAAAAAGACAAACATGGTATGTACTCACTCATATTTGGATATTTTACATATAGCAAAGGATTACCAACCTACAGTCCACACCACCAGATAAGCTAGGAAAAAAGGAGGACCCTAAGAGAGACATACATGATCCCCTGGAGAAGGGGAAAGTGACAAGATCTCCTGAGCAAATTGGGAGCATGGGGGGAGAGGAAAGGGAGTTAGGAGAAAGAGAAGAGGAGAAGAGGAGAGGAGAGGAGGACATGAGGGAGCAGGAAGATTGAGTCCAGGAAAGAATAGAGGAGAGCAAGAAAAGAGATACCATCATAGAGGGAGCCATTATAGGTTTATTTGTCACTAGAGAAATGTCCAGATATCTACAAGGACGACCCCAACTAACAATCTAACCAATAGTGGAGGGGCTACCTTAAATGACCTTCGCCAATAATGAGATTGATGACTACCTTATAATTCATCCAGTAACTGATGGAAGCAGAAGCAGACACCCACAGCTGCACAGTGAGCTGAATTCCTGGAATCCATTTGAAGACAGGGAGGAGTGATAGGCAAAGTGGTAAAGACATGCTGGAGAAACCCACAGAAACAACTGACCTGAACAAGGGGGAGCTTGTGGACCACAAACTGATGGCTGAGAGACCAGCTTGGGACTGATCCAGAACCCCTGAACATGGGTGTCAGTTAAGAGGCCTGGAAAATCTATGGGGTAGTGGATCAGTATTTATCCCCAGTGTATGAATGGACTTTGGAGGCCCATTCCACATAGAGGGATACTCTCTTAGCCTAGACACACTGGAGAAGATCTAGGCTCTGCTCCAAATGATATGACAGACTTGGAAGATCCCCCATGGAAGACCTCACCCTCCCTGGTGAGCAGAAAGGGGATGGGATAGGGGATGGTGAGGAGGAGAGTTGGGAGAGGGAACTGGGATTGACTTGTAAGACAAGATTGTTTCTAACTTAAAGAAAAAAGAATTAAAATAAAGTTAGAACATTAGAAAATATACAAAAGGTAGAAAATTTTGTAATATGATAATTTAATACTTCCTGGACTTTTTGTATATATTATGAAATATATGTGAATATTGATCACTATAATCAGCAAATTCCTTTCCTTCCCACTATAGAAAAAAAGTTTGTTAAACTTTCAAATCATTCACTTTGCTCATTATAGTAGATATGTATAAATATGAAGTTAATAAAATTTAAATAAGCAAGATATCCAAGTATTAGAATAACCATCTATTTGAAAATCATTTTCCTCCATGAAAGAGTTAATATTACAGTTATTTAATGTGAGTTCTTTTTGGGGTTAGGTAATAGGCTAGAGGATATGTTCTTAATGAGTATATTTCTTTTCAGGGATATAAATGCATGCTTCCTTCATGATATTTAAATGAGAGATATAATCTTAAATGTGAACTCCAAGCTGGCAACTGAGAATGTAATAATTCATCTTGACATCATAAAGGAGGAGCATTCTATGATAGACAAACACTTTGCAAAATCAAAGATATAAACAAGAATACAACTACAATTGAAGTCCAGAATTGAGGGGTAATCTGGAAACCTGATAAAGTAGAAGCTTCCTAAAATACATACATAAAGCAATCGAAGCGAAATCACCAAATAGCAGGGGAGACGTAGCCCAAACTGGGCATCTCTTGTCACCAAATGAGACTTCCATTACCAGGATTGGGTTGCGTCTAACTGACTCACTGACCAAAAAGATGTAGCAACATCTCACTTTGTCAGTGAAGTTGTGTTAGCAGTCATACCCCCTTTGGGCATGGCTTCAGATGCATATGTGATCAGAAGATGGGGAAGCATGGGGTTTGTGGTCTCTCTCTTGGGTCATGGACAGCGTCAGAAGGGCAGAGACTGCATCTTCTGGAGCAGGAACGCTGTGGTGGTTGTTTACTATTATCTGTGTAAGTTGTTTCCCAATAAAATACCCATTTATCATTTATCTTGGGTCTAGTGAACTCATTACTACCCCATCTTCAAAGAGAGCCCTGAAACTCCAAACAACCCAGTTTCCTACCAAGAATTCAGCTTGTTTTCCATAAACTGACACAAAGCCCCATTGCTAAAGACAATATCTACACAGCTTATTGAACAGAGAGAAGTTGAGCAAGTGCCTACCTAGAGCCTTCACCCCTACATGCTATAGTCTTTGGTACAATAAGGTTCTCTGTCCACTACCAAATGAGAAAACATAAATGCCAACCCAGCTACAAACCCTTACATCCTCAGTAGTGTCCTGCCTGCAAGATACGCTAGTGCATATTCTTGTGGGTATAATCAATGGGTATCTGATTTGACTTAAGGCCTACTCCATGAGGTGGGACACATGGTGATTAAAAACCTGAAACTAGATAGCCCAGGGACTTAGAGAAAACAAAATACCACTCTTT